CCATTCGTTTACGCCAAGACTTCTCCGTGCGTGCTATGGCTATACGGTACAACGATAATATACAATACGATACATACCGTTAAACATCAGACACAAGTATTTTATTTTATTTTATTTTATGGTATATTTAATATATCATGTTTTACGTGCAGCAATCTTAGCAGGCACATAAATCTTATAGAGACCTTTATTGGCATTGCAATTGGCCTTTTATAGCAGAATAATCCTGCTTTTTTCGACCTGAATCATGCTGCTGTGTTAATCAATATTTATATCAACTTCAATCTTCATCATATTTTAGAAGTTTTCATCCAAGTATGCTAGAGACAAACAGCCGATGTATGAATAGAAACTTTAAAATGCTTATAAAAACTTATCGAGTAATGCTGTGTCTATGTGGGACTTAAATGAATTATGTATAATATGACCCTGACAAAGTGTAGAGGCACTTTATACCGTTATAAGGTTTTATATAGGAAAGTATTTTTCTATTATATCTGCTGTTATTCTTTTGCATTCAATGCCAATGGGCAAGGTATAAAAGACGAGGGTAAATGAATATTGAATTATATATTATAGGACATACTGTGTACTATTTTGCCATTATTATACTCGCGTGTAGACAAAATAGGAAAAGCATATTAGTTATCTAAATTCTATACTGTAGATTCCCTAACAATTTTTGTACCTTATGCACTCCTTACTACCTAGTGTTTAATACAAACGATGAATTACACAATAATTTAACCTATTAAAAAAAATATGCGATGTCTATAAACAATTTTTGAATCAATAAATCAATCAACAGAGATTCAATGTCCATTTGGCTTGTATCCAGAGATTCAATATCCATTTGGCTTCAAAGATAAATATACCGTTTCCAAATAACGCTAACGGCATATTATAAGAATATTATAAATATGTGAAGTGAACCAGAGGCAAAACAGAAACATGTGAAATGAAAATGCGCCAGAGGCCTCGAGAGAACATTAGAACAATTTCAAAGCATACGATCATACGTTTTTATTGCTTGACTTCCTGACTTGTCTGTTGCTATAAAAATGTGTTTAGCATGTTTTTTTATAATTTAAAAGCAAACAGGAACCAAATTTAGCAAGTATTTAAATTTCATATGATTCTCAAAGTTGATTGTACAGAACACTCTCACTCCTTGCAATCGAAGTGTAAAGTGCGGAAGTGGAAGCATGTAATTTGATACTTTGCGTACTCCCCCTTGGGCGATCAAATTTCCGCGTGCCACGTGACCAGCCCCAGCCAGGGTCTTTGCTTCCCAAGAGCAAAGAGCCTGGGAACGAGGTTGTCTGTGGAGTTAATTGTGGGTGTCCATTAGCAATAATGCAAGGCTCACTTCCCTCGTGGTTGTTTGAGCACTCTGGCCCCATGTCACTCTGCGCATGTCTGGATGCGTTGATGGCTCGTGTTGTACCGCATGCGCTTGGGAGAGCAAGTGTCATGTATATCAATACGAAAGTCATTCCGTGTCTAGATGTGTACCAAGCTGCACTGATGAGGCGTAGGACGCCGAAACATGCATGTCTGCAGATTGTACTCTATATATACAGGGTGTCCCAAAAAAACCGAAAACTATTGAAATCACTTATTGTTAAATTTGAATGCCTTACTTTGCAGCTGGACGTAATGATGCGTAAATTAGAATTTAGTTAGGAGTATCTCCTGGTAAAGTGCGCGATTTTCTGCTCCTGGGAATTAAAAACAGCTTCTTAAACAGTTTCTTTATGCATAAAATTTACTTATGTCAATCATTTATGCACTCGTGAGAACCAACAGGGCGCTAAGGCATTCAAATTGTAACAATTGAATTGTTATTGGTGATTTCAATAGTTTTCGGGGTTTTTTGGGACACCCTGTATATATATATATATATATATATATATATATATATATATATATATATATATATATATATATATATATATATATATATATATATAGTACAATCTGCAGACATGCATGTTTCGGCGTTCAACGCCTCGTCATATATATATATATATAATAATGGTATAATAATAATAATAATAATAATGGTATTTTAATAACACATCATCGCATGAAAATGAATTACAATGTGTTTTACAATTGATTTGAATGGGAATTACAATACTAAAAGTAACTATATTACAATGTTTCATTAGATTATTAAATAAGAACTTATAACTAAGAACAATTATTTGTTTAAAACACTAATCATGCTAGGGAAAAAACTATTACCAAATCTATCAGTTCTACATTTAAAAGAAGCGAATTGTTTAAAATTCCTTAAATTATACACATGTTCGTTTTCACTGGTGAGAGTTAGATGGGAAGAAAGACGACTGCCCAATGCAATATTTTTTATCGTCTTTTCGCAAAGTTCACCTCAACGTATATCCAGCCTAGGACACTGCAACATTTCTTGCGCTTCACCGTAGGATCGACCTGGCAGTATAATCCTCAGTGCACGTTTTTGAATTTTCTCGACTTGTTCAGACAGATACATAGGTAGACCACAATGCCATACTGTACAACAATATTCTAATGTAGATCTAATCAATGCATAATAAATTGTGATAAGGTCGTGCGGTGGGATCCCTCCCCGTCGTAGGACACGTAGGATATGCAGTCGCTTGGATGCTTTGGTAACAATCATCGAAATATGTTCGTTCCACTTAAGGTCATCCTGGATAATCAATCCAAGAACCTTGTGCGACGATACACATTCTAAGATCTGGTCTTCAACACACAAGTGTGGTAGTTCAGGTTTGTTCCGAAAGAAACAAATTTGCATCTCTTTGCATTTCTTAGCGTTCAATTTCATCAGGTTATTAGATGCCCATGTAGCTATAGAAGTTAAATCAGACTGGATTACAGACGGTTCCCCATTCCTTAATAATCCCTCAGAGATAGTAACATCATCAACGAATTTCCAATTGCTAGGCCTCCCCGAACCGCATTGTAAATCATTGACCATAATTAAGAACAGGATCGAACCCAACTTCGTACCTTGGGGGACACCGGCTGTGACAGGAAGCCAACAAGAAACAGCTTCCGCAAGTTTGACCCGCTGTCTTCGCCCTGATAGAAAGTTTACGATCCATGGTATTAACGATCGCCTAACGCCAATATCAACAAGTTTTTGGATAAGAATGTTATAG